TCCCGCCAATATCTAGCGAATATATCTTGCATACAGAACTTTGTATGTGTTACATGGTGAATCCTTATACGCTAGAGCTTTATTTAGAAAAAAGAGACATATATGCTTTTAGAACGAACACTTTCGATCAAATACATGCATTTTTTATAAGAATTGAGACTTTTATAAGCCAAGCATTCTTTTCTATAGATGATGTGTATATATATTCATTCTCATTCAAACAAAACAGTGTATCCAGAATTAGGTCGTACTTTTCATATGTAAGTCTCTTTCAAGCAGAAAGACTGGTAAGAGAAGGAGAGAACTAAATTTCGTTAGGAAAAAAGAATTTTTCATTCATAACACTTTTTTTGTTGGAAATCAGCTATCCTTTCTTGATTCTAGTCTTGATCTGTTTTTTTTCAAATAAGTTTTTATAAGGTTAGTGAGTAATCATGAAGTCACTCTTCATACGACGTAAACTACCGTTCTAAAGTAGTTAAACACTCCATTATTATCCATTATTATCGAAAAAATGGCCACATAATGATCCACACCCGAATCTAGTGATAAAAAATTGATTAGAAAGTAGACCGTTTTCTCACGGTGTCTTGACCATTTACTGGCAATTAACTGTCTAAAAACGGCCCTAAAACTGCGTGTCTTAAGGCCGTAAATTGTTACTTCGAACTGTTTTGAAACCGCCTATTTATAGCCAGTAAACAGGCCGTTTCTAGATCTTTTAAAAATACGCTCAAAAACAGCCAGTAAACCGTCTTTGAACGGACATGAGTCTCATGAAAATTCGATTCACAACGTCACAGTTTATTGACAGTTTTTACGCAGTTGAAAAACCACCTATTTCAGGTGGTAAAACCATACCCTCCAAACCATCATAACACCACCTAAAAACGGTCTGACCGGCCTAAAAACAGGCAGTAAACTGCCCATTACTTGTCAGTTAACTGACAGTTAACTGGCAATTAACTTGGTGGTTTTCAATGTCCTGGGAGGTTAATAATTTCAAAATAATTAGTTTTTTCACAACTATCACAATTAAGTAAAGAAAAAAGGAAGCACCAAAGTATCATAATCACGATAGTGAAAAAAATTCTACCAAACTGTTGAATCAAGATCACAAAACGATATTTACACTAGAAAGCGTAATGTCTACTACACATTCATAAAAGACGTCAAATATGAAGAGATTAAGTCTCGAACAAGAATCTCTGTCTGTTCAAATAATACCGTTTCAAGAAAGAAGAATATTTTTTGTTTACTATGTAAAGATTTCTAAGGACACTCGAAGTTTTGTTAACAAAACGACCATAAAAAAAGAAAATTATATTTTGAGGGCTATGTATAATGCCTTGGTACGCTGGTTCTTATCCGATATAAAAAACAACAAGAAAATCCAAACAATTCTGAGTATTTTGAACGCTAGTTACTTTCTCCATCCTCTGTTTGTTGTGATTATAACTTTACTTTCCGTTTTGAATGTGATGGACTCGATACTCTTTTATTCTGATCATATTTCATTTGTTGTAACGATTGAACAATATCTTTACGCATACAATAGACAACCGAAATACTAATTTTGTGCAAATGAGCAAGTACTCCTGAAAAGAGAGAACTAAAGCCTTACATAAAGAAGTTTTTTATGATGCATACCTAACAAAGTATCTAATTTACCAGTAGCCAGATTTTCAAATGACGCTGATTCACCATAAGCGAGTCGAATACAGTATCTTGCTGTCTGTGTATAAGCACTTTTTGGTACTATTCCTCTTACATCAACACCGTTTATTTCCTAAGACAGCAAAGCAATCCAAACTCACAACGAATCGCACTATTTATAGATTCTTACATTTAAAAATTCGTCGTCATTTTTTGTCATATTCCTGGCACGAGTTTGCTGCTACCATATGCAATTGCTGAAAAGAGAAGTAAAACACTTTTCAAAGCATGCCATAAAATGAGTTAACACTTACCATTCTTAAAACATTTGCTGCTTTTTGGGAGGCTTTCAATAAATCGTTTGGTAATTCAACAAGTTCACTTAATAAACGTGTTTGTTCTCGTGCTTCAGCAATCTGATGTTGCATTAATAAATTTGTTTCATCTAATACTTTAACGTATGATTTCATTATCTGTTCTAATGCTAAAAGTAGTAGAATACAGGAATACTTCCATTTACAGTCGAGAGAAAATAACTTACTAGATTTCAGCAAATCATTAGTTAATCTAGATACCTGAGTTGGTGACGAAGGCACTGAAAGAATAATTTTCTGTAGACTCACGCAAAAGAGAAGAAAGATAACTGACCCAACGCGGTATTTAATTTATTTGTTAATCCGGGACTAATTTTGTTTGATATTATTGATGAAGAAGTCGAAGGTTGAAGTTGGTTAAACTTTTTTGACCTTGTTGTTAACGTTCTGCGTGCTCGAAAAACAGAAAAAACTGATACAGTTTATTCAAAGGAAGAATTCTCACTCTGGAATTACTTTTTGGTGATTGAGAATGGTTTAATTCTCTTCCTCCATCCAGATCATTAATCTTTCTTCTTATTACTGGAGCTAAAAAATAAATAAAATCGTACAGTTGTATCAGAAGTGAAGAAAGTAGTTTTTACTTTGAGATGGTGATATATTTTCAGTAAGTGTTTTAGAACTAAATGAGTTTGATGCTAAATCATATTCTGTCAATACAGAAACTGGTTAACTACCGTACGCTCCAGACGGTTGTTTGAAAAGTCTCTCGCTAACTCGATCTAATCGAACAAAAGAACATTGTTTATAAACATGTAATGTATTGAAGAGGAGAATGAAATACTATTTAAAATAGACGATATCTGAAGCGGGGTATGTAATTGCTCGTATAGCATTGATTGTCCTGTAATGCGTGATCTTGACATAACTTGCGAGGATATATTTTGACGCGCTAATAGCGTCCCTACTTCGCCATGGCATGATAAACTATCTTCATTAATTTCAAAACTGGATTGGTTCATTTGATTATTCATTCGTAAGAATTTAAAAACTAAATGTACCTTTTCCAAAAACAAAATAGGTAGATAAGGTTTTTGAGATTCTACAGAATCAGTTTGTGGAAGTTGACCTGCCCAGCGTTAACGCATACTAATACAGTATTGACACTACCGACGAAGAAGCAGAATCAATTTCAAAGAGAAGATAAAACAAGAAGACGATCAGTAAAAACTATAATTCATTAATTTTGATCAAGATCATAAAAAATCTCAGATATAAGGACATCATTGGGCATATAAATAACAACACATCTTTTACGAACAGAAGAAAAAGGAACAGAGATTAATGTTTTAATACTGAGATCACAAGTAGTATAATATTTATCCAAATATTTAGTAACAGTAGAAGATGAACGCCATCTTGTCAACGAACAATTATTTGAAAACAAACGAACATTGCTTTTGTACATGTATATAAAAGCATACATAGCGCCAAGCAGTCTAAAATAAAAAATAACTTCACCACACTTTTTCTCATTTTTACAATTAATAAATGAAACAACAAAACTTTGAGTATGTCCACGACGCCGATAAGATAAAGAATGATATTCAGAAACACCTTTAGATGCCTGACAAAAAAATTCAATATGTCGACTTTCTGTGGAGTCAATAACATTTTTAACTGAATCGAGAAGTTGACGGTCGTAAGTTATGATCTATTGCTCATCCAAAAAACTATCAGACTAGAATTCTCATCAGTAAAAATATTATCGGTTGACAATGTTTCTTTTCCGATGATTACACGAGATCTGTCTAATACAAATCTGATTTGCAATGTATCGATTACCAGAACGTAAAGAACGTAGAAACCGAATAAAACCTTCATGTGAAAAACAATTGTGGAAACATAAAGCTGCATGACTGTCTACTTTAGCTGGTAAATGCAAATGAGCATGTGTTGAATATAGTTTCCCCTTTTTGTTCGTGCGACAATGTTGCAGGCTAAAGCCTTTTGCATTATTTTTTCGCATGTCCTATATATGACACCGCGCGATTAGCTCTAATCTCGATATTTCAGCTGGATCTGCCTCATTTGAATTTTGACTTGAAAATTCTACTTTTGCAAAATTCTTTAACACCTGAAGAAATTAAGATCGTATTCAAAGGTGTCATTAACTTTGTTGCTCAAACAGAGCGGTTTGTTATGCATGACTGATAAAGATATTTTTTCTTGATTTCCCTGCACTCCAGTCCAGAACGCACACTATTCCCCCTTCCCTACTTCTTATCATCTAATATGATTGCATACTGACATGCACTTACCTACCCATTAGTCCATTTTTTTAATTTTGTTGTACTCAAATCGCATGTTTAGAAAAACAAAAACAAATGTAATTTTGTTAGATTTTTGGTTGAGCGTTTTATGCACTATGCAACATAAACTTGTCTGCAAGCATAGCTGCGTTTGTTTGTTGAAGTTAAATACAACTATTTTTTAATAAACAAGAACAAGTTCAAAAAAAAAATAATGAACTTAGTTACGCGTTACTGGTAACGAAGTAACTACATTAGTTACTTGTTAACCAGTGACGAGTAATTAATATAGCTTCTATTAGCTAAGTAACTAAGTAACTAATGTAGTTACTTCGTTACTCTCGCGAAAGTAACGAAGTAACGAAATTTTTTTTTTAAAGGAAAAAGCCATATTCAACTTCTTTTCGATATTCTCTATCGTTCTAACATATAAATCTTGATATGAAGAACAATCTTGATTACGAAAGTTGGCATGAATGACAGTTTATCTTCTCAGACGATGTTGATGAATTTTTATCATAGAACAGATTTAATTAACGCTTGGAAAATGAAACAAGATAAATGTAACAGTAGCAGTAGTAAACTAATGTCCATTCAAAAATACTATAAAGTTTACCAAAGTAAACAAAAGAGTTGAAAATCGTAGAATACAAGAAAAAATAAACAGTTATTTAGAGAAAATATTTTGTAGATTCTATTCCGAAGAAATTGTTCATGCAACAAAAGTGAGTTTTATTCTTAACACCATCATTCTCTTTATAGCATAAGCATTAAAAGTATTTTTTATTCACATATTTCAAATAGACTCTCACTCCGAGTGTTTTATATTTTATTACAAAACAAGTAATAATTCAATTAAGTGAACAGACAAAAATCCGAAACAAAAAAAAGAAAAACAATACAAGAAGCTTCATAGAAAAACAAATATTCTTTGCGAAACATGATTTCAATGTATATATACAGTGGCGGAGCGACCGTTGGCGCGAGGCGTGGGTACACTCCCCCCTGCTTTCAGAAATTTGACAAAAAAATGTTGTTTTGTGAAGGATATGAAGGAACAGTGAAAAAATGCTGTTTTCATCCTGTGTCTGCAAAGTGTGGAGGTAACGGATTATATAACTGTAAATCCGAAGTGAAAAAATGTTAAATTTTGTATTATTTCTTTTACTTATCAAACTTGCCAGAAGATCTTTTTGAACTTACTCCGATTTTTGAAACTACTCTCCCCCTGCTTTAACTTCTTCGCGCTGCCACTATATATATAGATATATATAAGAGTCGATATAAACTAACAAATAAAACGTAATTAGTGTGTGTTAAAAACAAAATAAGTAAGTATTCTTTGTTAATTTAGTATATGAAACTGTACGGAAGTAGCGTACAATTCTTTCAGTCAAGCAAGACAGACATCATTTTCTTGTATTACATGATTTAAGCATGATTCACGTAGGGCAGAAGGGCAGAAAACGACAGAAAAAGCACCAATAAAATACAAAAAACAAAAACAAATTGAAACTAAGTTATACGATATACATGTGCATATATATATATATTTTTTTTTTTGTTTGTTCTATGATCTCTGTTTTACTGATGTCTGTGTATATTTGTGGTTTTTCTAAGATTTTCATTTTTTCGAAAAAACAAAAGCAAAATGACGAATAATAAGAAGATATATTTAGAAAGAAAAAAAGACTGCATTAAGAAATATTTTCATCTATAGTTACAACATCAATATTATTCAAATATAATACATTACATGGCAGAAGAAGAAAAAAAAATGGTAAGAAAATGAAAATAAATGTGGCAAATCTACCATAAAAATTTTTTACCAGTTCCTTTATCTAACAGTTCTTTAGGTGACGGTTTTCGCACATCTTGACCACCACGTTCATATTCATCAAAAATATCTGTTTCTGGTAATGCCACTTTGCATGGTAAAGCAAATGGCAATAATGAATGCTGATAAACGAATGCTGATAAAGTAGCTGTAAAAGACAATTATTTTGTATTATTGTGGTTAATAAGGTGAATTGATTATTGTTCTTACCAAAATCTGGTTCATTAATGCATCCTTTCAATTGTACATAGCCTGTTGGTGTTCGTTCAATTAAATAGTGTCTCACGAGTTCAGCATTTGGGTCAGCTCTTTCAGAAAAATAAAACTTAAATCTGAAATACTGTATAATGTACAACATGCTCAATTTACCTGGTTTTGCCGACCGAACAAATGGAGGTAATTTGGCAACTTTAATAGCCAATCCGTATGAGCCACGAAAGTCTTGACTATCTCGTATTAAAAATGTCCCTGGTGGTTTTGTTTTTAACAGGGATATAGCTAAAAAAGAACAAAAGTATAGAAATTAATTTGAATGACTATTATTTTTTCAATAAATTAATCTCAAATTACCATCTGCACGTGAAAGTTTTGGTTTATACCAATATTTGCTAATATTATGAACATATTGTGAACCATTACGTAGAACATCTGATTCTAAAAATATAATCTTGCATTTATCTTAAGCGATAGTGAAAAATGACTAATTACGAATTCTATAAAGAAAAGATAAACGTAGAAAATATCATATTTTAAATTTTACCTGCTGCTGATGACACACTCGAACGTCGGGAACTTTCTTCTTGACTACGAAATGAACTAAAAGAAGAATACATAATGTAACAAAATTAGAGAAAAATTTTATTTATTTTTTTTTCTTTCATTTTGATTACCTGCTTCCTATTCGATGATCTAAATTGCTTTTAGTTTGCAAACTTTGATTATCTTAAAAGAAAAGACAAATATAAAGATCCCTTAGGTTAAAAAATATGCAAACATTTTACATGCTAATATATTTAGCGGAAATATTGGAATTGATGTCATTTTTGTATTCATATTTTCATGAGCTCTCAAAGCAAATCTCCTTTCTGAGCATTTTCTACTATTCTTTGGCACAGCCCCACATAAACACTTGTTTCTCAGCTCTGCTTCCTCGCTATATAGTCTCTTATAGCAGAGAAAGATAGAAGTCAAGGAGTTCTACCTACAAGTACACTCACGAGGGAACCTCCCGAGGTGATAAATCGCTTTTTGATCGAAATCTAATGGGTTATAGGTTATCGACTACGCTGATTCTGAATATGACTGTGGGGGTTCCCCATAGCCCTTCGAAGATCCGGTCTTCTGGAAAACCACTCTTTCAGAAACTCTAAAAAATAACCCAAACTTTTCTTAACAATGCAAGATTATAGCGCGCAAATTTTTGATTAAAATGAGACATCCCCCGACTCCATACGACCTTTCTTTGCAAAGTTATAGAATTTATAAGAAAAGCCCTAAATTGTTCAACGCTACAGAAATAAGGAGGAAAAAATTAATTTAGGGCTTTTCTTATAAATTCTATAACTTTGCAAAGAAAGGTCGTATAGAGTCGGGGGATGTCTCATTTTAATCAAAAATTTGCGCGCTATAACCTTGCATTGTTAAGAAAAGTTTGGGTTATTTTTTAGAGTTTCTGAAAAAGTGGTTTTCCAGAAGACCGGACCTTCGAAGAAGTATGTGGAACCCCCATAGTCATATTCGGAATCACCGTTGTCGATAACCTGTAACCCATTTGATTTCGATCAAAGACCGGACCTTCGAAGAAGTATGTGGAACCCCCATAGTCATATTCGGAATCACCGTTGTCGATAACCTGTAACCCATTTGATTTCGATCAAAAAGCGATTTATCACCTCGGGAGGTTCCCTCGTCAGATTAACATTGCTCGTACTACTAGCGTTCGTGAGTGTTCACTGATTTATTCTGTATCAAAGAAAAAGGCGCACCTGACACAATTGGATCCTAGGCATCATTCTGTGAATGATAAGACACGAAGAAGTCGTGTTCATCATTCAATCATCTTATTGCAGCTGGTTTCACTAGCCGCATCTTGCATTAGATATATTATTACTTAAGCTGGACTCTTCTTCTATGTTTCCTTGGTCTTTGTCGTAGAAAAGTCGGACACTTCTAAAAGTTTTGCCTGTCGACATTCTGAGGAAAAACTAGAAGAAATGCATCCGAAATCTTACCGTGCGATCGTGCAGATTCGACATAACCACTTCGCACGCTCTTCTTCTCGTTGGAAATTGCAAGAGTTGCAAGAGCGGAAGGAATCGAAGATGAGGACTTAGATATCGTAGTCGCTAAGGGTGTTGGTGGACAGAAAAGCGATGTAATTTGTTCCGTCAAGCCACATATTTTTGACGACGTGATGAGCGACGGCGTTGATGTGCTGGGACGAAACTGGCAATTTTGAAGGAATATTTCTTCAGTGTGCTTGCTTTCCTGGCTGAATTTGTTTATCATTACCTGCCGTTTCCCTCTATTACAATCTCGGCATAGATGATTCCTGAGATGCTGCTGATAGAAAAACTCTTTACATGCAGCACATTGACTCAGCACTTGATCGCACGTTTGTTCGTGTTGATCTAGATCTTTTTTTAAAAATTCTCGTTTACAACCCTGGCATGGTAACGACCGATATTGGCACGCTTGTTCGTGTTTTTCCAATAATTCGTACAACGGTGTCTCTTTACATCCCTGTTTTTCATATCGGCAGCAGATTTTTAATTTTGATAGTAAAGAAAACAAGAGTGGAGGACAACGTTTTTCCACAAATGGGCAACTATACACGCACACGTTGGTACCACCTTTGGTATCAAACCATTTTCGAATACATCTAATAGATAATACATTAAGTATGTCAATCGACGATTAGAATGTTCTGATCCTCTCCCTGCATATATCTATCCGCTTCTCTCTCACACTCCCTTAAATTTTCATGCCGTCTCCAGGGTTTTTTAAGAGCAATTGTGTGAGGCTACGACATAGTCCTTCAACAAATTTCTTTTTAAGTGTGATTTTCGAATTCTCCATTAGCTATTAATCCAAGTTTTCAGGCTTTGGGAATTTTTTCTAGTGATTTTCAAGAAAAAGTTTGCATGTTTTCCTTTTGTTGTATAGTGTTTGTATATTTTCTTTTTTAACCCAGATGAGTCTAAATTTTATTGAAAGTTAGTGAATCTTATGTCAGTGGAACAAGCGGAAGAAGTGAACAAAACCTGATATTTTGTCCTTATCAGAAACAAAATTCAACGTAAAAAGAAAATTAACAGATCACAACTTTTCAAATTGGAAAACTCAAAATTTTCTCGTATTACGATTTTACAAAAGCTAAACTATTCTGACGGAGAGATTCGGTTACCTGTTTTGTAGACGAAACTATAGGATATGCTATAGTACATGGAAATGCAACACGGACTACGTGTCAGAATGCTGTTTAATGTGCGTTTTCCTTAAAGCATACATGACTATATGTAATCCACAATGCTGATTAGGGGTGTTAATTTAGTGTTACTTTGGAAAATAAATGTAAATGAATCATTTATACTTAAAAAATAAAGATAAATGGATCATTTACTTTTATAAAATAGAGATAAATTTTTTTTCATTTATTTATATATATTTTTTAAATATAAATGAAAAATTTATCTTTATTTTTTAAGTATAAATGATTCATTTACTTTTACCCATTATTATAAATGAATAATAAAACTAAATTAACACCCCTAATGCTGATTCCGAATATTTTAGTCGTTTTTGCCCAAACGGCTTCAGAGGTTCGGTGTTCTATGGTAAACATTTTTTCTTTTTAAATCAAGTTCTGATCTACTCAGTTTGTAGAACATATCAAGTTAGGCATGTAAGCAACTTTTTTCGATCATCAGACCAATCCTGAACGACTCGTATGGTGAGAAAATTAATTTTACGAGCAAAATATTCAACATGTTTCTTCCCTTTTTGACTGTAACATACACCCTCACAACAATAAAACCATATTCATGAAAATATTGCATTGAACATATTTTATTTACTGTTGGTTGAGGAAAACAAATATCACTGATGTTTCTGAGTGTGCTAAAAAATAGTGATCAAAGAATTAAACAACAATAAGATACCGTTACATTATAGTTTCATCAAATCTTGTATATAAAATAACTGAATTTTTGTAATGTACATAAAACAATAAATAATGATGAAAAAATTCAAACACCAACTGAGAAAACAGTCGCCCTTATACTTGAATACAGAGATGGGCGAGTCACGGTTTTTTGTAGTCTGAGTCGAGTCTGAGTTGCATCAAAAATCGACTCGAGGCACCTCGGGTCATTTTCTAAAAGTAAACTTCCTCCAGATTCATTTTTCCATGAAAAAGCTTGCAGCGCTATTTTCTATCTCTTGTTTGTCTTGTCTTTTTCTATACCTTCAATCTTTTTATGTGACGCGAACTTCTAGTTAGAATATTCTGAAATCTGTTCCTTTATTTTGGTATATAAGAGCCATTAAAGATAAACTACGACCTATTACCGTCATTGTTCTCGCCTCCTACGATATTGTTGGAGTACACCAGGTGTACTATCATGAGCCATGGTGGGGTTTTGAGGATCTTTTAAAATACCCTGGAAAACCAAATTTCTAGAAAACCAGATCAAGAAAATGTTTCAGTCAATTTGGGATTTTCATATCAGCCGTTTTATAGAGCATATCAAGTTACATATGTCACTATTTTTATAACTATTCGATTAGGTTTGATTAGAAACCTTTAGTTCAAGTATTGATTAAAAGCATACATACGTGCATGGTAATACTTTAGTGTTTGAAAAATTTAAAACTTTGTTAAAACTAATCGAATAGTTATAAAAATACCTTGACATGTGTAACTTGATATACTCTATAAACTAGCTGATGTGAAAATTCCAAAGTGGATTGAAAAATTTCATGGTCTGATTTTCTAGAAACCTCACTTGGTTATCCAGGGGATTTTAAAAGATCCCAAAAACCGTGCCATGGCTCATGATAGTACACTGGGTGTACTTCAGCAATATCGTAGACGGTATCATCTACTGTAAAAGAACGAAAGCATGTCTGGAGCTCGCGGTTGTATGAATTTGTAGTAGACACTATCTAGTAGTTATGATAGAATTCTTAAGTCTAAGTAAGGTGTCTTTATGGAGTTGTATGTAGTTCACATTGACAGTTTCCTTAGATGTCGGAATTTGTGCGTTTTCGGGCTCTTTGCAAAAACTGAATATCTCAGCAACGCAACAATTTTAGGATCTGCGGTTTTCGCCAAAACTCATGAAACTGTTTGCTCTAAAGAAGCTCTTATTATGGTAGAAATCTGAGGTGGTCGATAGAGCAGCGCTATACGGTAATAGGTGTAGCTTATCTTTAATGACTCTCCATGTTGTCGAAACCGGCGGTTAACCACGGTTATTTTAAAAACCCACGATTAACCGCAAAAACGATCGGTTAACCGCGGCTAACCGACCGTTTATTCCGGTTAATTGTGAGGTTAACCGTCGGTTTTTCTGCTGTGTTGCTATGGTTCAGCTGAAATAACAGCGATTAACCGTCGATTCTTAAAATAGCCGTGGTTAACCAGCGGTTTTCGTCCGGTTTCGACAACATGGGCCATAACAAATATCATAATACTGTCATAATAATCCAGAGCTGCAGTTTATTGCAGTTTATCTAGTTTATCTAGTCTTTCACCTCAAGTCCAAGTGACAGGAACATGCGACTTGAGTCGTTTATAAAAGCCGTAATACGGAAAATTCTGAGTTCTTCAATCTGAAAAGTTTTAATCTATTAATTTTCTTTTTACGTTGAATTTTGTTTCTAATAAGGACAAAATATCAGGTTTTGTTCACTTCTTCCGCTTGTTAAACTGATATAACATTCACTAAGGTTCAATAAATTTTAAGCTCATCTCAGTTAAAAAAAGAAAATAAGCAAACTTTTTCTTAAAAATCTTGCCTGTTCGCTAGAATAGATTCCCAAAGACTAAACACTTAGATTAATAGCTAAATTTAAATGGAGAATTCGAAAATCACATTTAAAAAGAAATTTATTGCTGAACCATGTTATGAATGTTCTTCATACTGTGACGAACTTTCTTTTAAGTCTTTGACTAGCCGTGCACTACGATAGTCTCATATTGTTTATTTAGTGTAAGATGCACGTAAAGCAAACTTCGAGTGAAATTTTATTATACATACTCGGATTCAGTTCAACCAGCTGATCGCGAATAATACCTTCCGAGCCTTCAAAAACCATCTCTTCATGGAGAAAAACTCAAATTACTGAGTAGATCTCAAAAATATAAAAACCCGTCCTCCATGATGAAATTGACTTTTTGAGGTTGTATTGCAAGGTGAAAGGTTCGAACTATATTTTATCACTTACGTATTGTCGATTCCAGCAGCGCACATCTATATAAATAAAAAGTTTGAATTCTACGACAAAGACGCAACAAAAGTCTGGTGAGGACGGCTAAACTATAAAATTATCGTAAATCGAAGTAATAATTTGCGTTTAATGGATTATTAAGTTTTTCAAAAGGATTAAAAACGAGTAGCAAAATGCGTCAAACATACTAGTATACCGAGAAATAGACACCAGACTTTTAAGCTGCTCCTTCTTCTTCTTATTTGATCTGGACGTACTCAATGTATGATAACAGTCAAAAAAGAAGCAAGAATATTTTTGAGCTAGAGGAAAGAAATG